CTGATAGGACTCTTTCTTCAGCTTGACAGCATTCCTAACTGCCAGTGTCCACCAGCGGGTTTGGGGGGTGCCACCACGACAGGCAGTTAATTCTACTGTTATTTATTTAATACCAGAATTTACACTCAACAAAAATATAAACGCAACATCTTTGTTTCTGCTCCGATTTTCCATGAGATGGACTTAATGATCTAAAATTCATTCCAGATACACAATATTACCATTTCTCTCAAACGTTGTTCACAAATCAGTCTAAATGTGTGTTAGTGAACACTTCTACTTTGTTAAGATAATTCATCCCACCTCACAGGTGTGCCACATCAAGATGCTGATCCGACATCATGAGTAGTGCACAGGTGTACCTTATACTGCCCACAATAAAAGGCCACCCTGGAATGTGCAGTTTTGTCTCACAGCAAAATGCCACAGATGCCCCAAGCATTGAGGGAGTGTGCAATTGGCATGCTGACAGCAGGAATGTCAACCAGATCTGTTGCTCGTACATTGACTGTTCATTTCTCCACCATAAGCCGTCTCCAAAGGTGTTTCAGAGAATATGGCAGTACATCCAACCGGCCTCATAACCGCAGATGACGTGTAACCACACCAGCCCAGGACCTCCACATCCAGCAGGTTCACCTCCAAGATCATCTGAGACCAGCCACTCAGACAGCTGCTGAAACATTTGGTTTGCATAACCAAACAATTTCTGTACAAACTGTCAGAAACCGTCTCAGGGAAGCTCAACTGCATGCTTGTCGTCCTCATCGGGGTCTTGACCTGACTCCAGCTTGTCGCCATAACAGACTTGAGTGGGCAAATGCTCACATTTGATGGCATCTGGCACACTGGAGATGTGCTCTCTTCACGGATGAATCTCGGTTTACATTGTTCAGGGCAGATGGCAGACGGTGTGTGTGGCGTCGTGTGGGTGAGTGCTTTGCTGATGTCAGTTGTTGTGGATTGAGTGGCCCATGGTGGTGGTGGGGTTATGGTATGGGCAGGCATCTGTTATGGACGAAGAACACAGGTGCATTTTATTGATGGCATTTTGAATGCACAGAGATACTGTGATGAGATCCTGAGGCCCATTGTTGTGCCGTACATCCATGAACATCACCTCATGTTTCAGCAAGATAATGCACGGCCCCATGTTGCAAGGATCTGCACACAATTCTTGGAAGCTGAAAATGTCCCAGTTCTTGCATGGCCAGCATACTCACCGGACATGTCACCCGTTGAGCATGTTTGGGATGTGCTTGACCGGCGTATACGACAGCATGTACCAGTTCCCACTAATATCCAACAACTTCGCACAGCCATTGAAGAGGAGTGGACCAACATTCCACAGGCCACAATTGACAATCTGATAAACTCTATGCGAAGAAGATGTGTTGCACTGCATGAGGCAAATGGTGGTCACACCAGATACTGACCGGTTCTGAGTCCCCAGACCCCTAATAAAGCAAAAAAAAAAAAAAAAAAAAACTGTACATTCCAGGGTGGCCTTTTATTGTGGGCATTATAAGGTACACCTGATGATCAGATCAGCATCTTGATGTGGCACACCTGTGAGGTGGGATGGATTATCTCAGAAAAGCACAGGTGCTCACTATCACAGATTTAAACTGATTTGTGAACAATGTTTGAGAGAAATGGTAATATTGTGTTTATGTTTATGTATTTAGCAGACACTTTTCTCCAAAGCAACTTACAAGTGATAATCGGCATGTTGCCCTTGAGGCTAATAACAACAATAACAACAACTTGACATCAATATTGTCTATCTGGAATTAATTTTAGATCTTTAAGTCCATCTCATGAAAAATCGGAGCAGAAACAAAGGTGTTGCGTTTATATTTTTGTTGAGTGTATGTATGTGTTTAACACATATTTATTTATTTATTGAAATCCCAGCATTTATTTCAATGCAAGTATTTATTTAAAGTATTTCGGTTATACAGGTCGGCGTTTCAGGTTTCAGCTGCAGGAAGCCAGGCAAACAATAAGCATCATATTTTTGTCACAGTGATCTTGTGTGTGTGGAACTGGACAAGTTCAGAACAGGCAGAAAGGCAACAGGTGTTAGAAAGAGAGACTTTGCTACTGAGATTGTTTTTGTTTCCTATGTTCATCTTACAGTTTTTCTCCATTGGTTTGGCTCATTTCTTGAAACTGAAATTACATTCTCAAACCTCTAAGATCGTTTGGCAAAACACTGTTACAGTTTAGCACAACACTATACCTGCAAAAGCTCATATCTCTACCAAAACGGTTCACTCAGGCTTCAATCAAAATCCCTTTCTCATTTAAACAGTCAGTGTCTCCAAAATAGCAAAAAATCCTTCTCAGTAGCTTTGGCTCATTTCTTGACACATATCGGACATTCTCATCATCATTCTTGGTGCTTTTGTCAAATTAAACCTGGAAGGTTGATCACAACAACATGGATTACCTGCAAAAGCTCATATCTCTCCTAAAACCGTTCACTCATGTGTCAAAACATTTCTTTCTAATTTGAACAGTCAGTGCCCCCAAAATGCATTGTCCCTTTAGCATTGTGTGAGTACTGCCATACAAAATGTTTAGATGTTTTGTCTCTATGGCAAAAATAAACAACAATATACAACCGAACAGAATAGCCTCCAAGGTTTGATATCACAGATTGCACTCACACTACCAAGGAAATTATAACCATTTTTTATTCACACGCAAAGAAAGTTTCACACATATGTAAAAAGAAAATGTACATTTTCTTCCTCCTCTTCCTTGAGGAAGAACTTCCTCTTGTCCGTTTGCTTGTTCTTGTCTATCCATGTTCAGAGATCAGACTGGCGCTGGTCAAGCTCTATATATCTGTGTTTGGCAGCACACGATCATGGTAAAAAAAAAATGGTAGGCATGTGTGACACTCTCCGTTCGTTCAATCAATCAATCAATCAAATTTTATTTCTAAAGCGCTTTTCAAACAAAGTGTTATTCAAAGTGCTTTACAAAATGACCCCAGATTCCCATAACAGGTTAAAAACATTAACAAACATATGCAATCACACGCACACACACACACAGACTCACACACACACAGGAGTAAAAATTATATTAGGCTGAGTCCAGATGAGCCAAGTATGGTAACGCAAGGAAACGCCATCAGAGGAGCCGTCTGTCCCGGCAGCATCAGGTCTTCCACACTAAGTCAGGGCGCTCAGTGGAGGGGGAGCATAGACCCCCACCTATAGAGCGCCCAGGAAGCTACAGTCGACCACAGCTCCCGGGGCAGAGGGCCCCCACAGAGGAAACACTGGATTAAAATGAGTAAAAATGTAATAAAAGAGCTAATATAAATGACAAAAATTAGAAAATAAGTAATAAATAAAATGATATAAACAGTAAAATACTAATTTAAATAATAAAACTGTGCTAAAATATAATCATATAGAACATGCAAAGCAAGTAATAAAATATAATCATGTAAAACTAGAAATAAAACTGTAGTAAATGTTTAGATAAAAGCTAACCTAAAAAGATGGGTCTTGAGTCTTGACTTAAAAACATGAACGTTCTCTGCGGCCCTGAGGTCCTCTGGCAGCTCGTTCCAGAGGCGAGGGCCATGACACTGGAAGGACGCCTCGCCGTGAGTTTGTGTCCTGACTTTAGGGATGACCAGGAGACGCCTGCCAGAGGAGCGCAGAGTCCGCGAGGGTTCATATTGTAAAAGCAGTTCTGATAGATAAGAAGGCCCAAGACCGTTAAGACACTTAAAAACCATTAGAAGAACCTTAAAATTGATCCTGAAACATACGTTAGTCTACTTTCAACTGTCAATGACTGTCATCAATGTATCAAATATTCAAAGAAATTCATAAATGGTATTCATGGTATTATGTTCTTGACCAATTCTGACAATTGAACAGACAGTTTTGCATGTGAGTACTTACACAATGAAATCATGCTGATGTGTTTTAGAGAGAATGATCATTAGACTGAGAATCAACTAATCAGTTTAGATCTACAAGATCTATTCATTTGGAAAATGTGCTAAATGTGGGCTAACTGTATAACTGTAGGCTACATGTACTTAATCATTTGCAAAGATTCACTGAGACAATTGAGGCATGTACTAAGGCATTTGCCATTTGATAAAATGAATGAGAAATGCTGTTCTGTTGTGAACATTTGCCAAGAGGTTTGGAGGTTTGTCCATGTTATTTTGAGAATGTAATTTCTGAGCCAAAGCAATGGAGAAAATCTGTAATTAGAGGACTTGGCACCCTTAAGTGGTGACATGTTGGAACTGCACTTCGGTTCTTATTAAAACATTTAGAAGAGAACAATTTAACTTCATTATCTCAATGAAGCTGAAAAGAAAACTTTGTTTTTGTTCTTTTGGGAGTAATAATATTAAGGGAGAGAAGGAGAAGAGGGAACTACATTTGTAAAGTTATAAAGGTAACTTGAACTAAACACTTATTGTAAATTCTTTCAAAGTAAAAGAATACAGCATTTGTGGCATTAGCGACGAGGGTATTCACTTTGAAAGTCTATTTCTCTTATTTAGCTAAAACACTGATAAAACTTTATTTATGTAACCCCGTTAAACACAACGGTTGCGTGGAACCAAACCCAGCTAGCTAATATTCCAAAGGATAACTTTTTTATGAACGAGGGGAGTTGGCGCCCTTTAGTGGCAAGAAGCTAGAACTACACTCTGGTTCTGTTAAACCGTTAAGAAAAGATTTTTGGCCTCCTTGGCTTCCTTATAAACAGTTTTAACATTTGTTTTTGTTGTCTTATGAGCATTAATACTAAGAATGAAATGAGGGAATGACATTTATAAATTTACAACAGTTCTTTAGTAGACTAAGCATCACTCCAGTCCTTACATCTCAACTATCACAACTCCATCAAGTATAGCATCATATGATACTGAGCAACACGTACATTTTGCTTTCAATATAGTTTTTTTTAATCAAATATTTAAAAAGTAATTACCATTGATAGGCTTGATTTATTCAAGTTTATTATGTAAAAGAATGACATTAACAATGACATTTTGACACACTTTAAAATAAAATAAACTCAACACATTCAGTTTAACATGTCATTAATAGTTACCTTTATACTTTATTTATAAAATTGAAAGATTTTTGTTCTTAAAGAAACCGTTCATGGCAGAGTTAAATAGGACATCTATCGTTGTTACTGTACATTACAAAAAAAGTCTCTTTAACCCAAACATTCGGCGTAAATTCTCTTTAACCACAAACTAGTGAGAAAAAGTTTTGACAGCATAGTGTTATGACCGTTTTTCATATGCACAACATCTGTCTCATCACAGTGACCAAATCTTTTTGTCACACAGCAGCAGGTCGAGAAATCATGATGGATTAAATCTGTTCCAACTGCTCATCTGGACTGAACACGAACGTAAAACCACACACCTCATAACAGAATCTCATCTTGAGACATTAACAGCGTCCGAGTTCAGTCATGAAACAAGACGCTCCTACTGTTAAAAACATAGCATGCTGCCCCACCACTGACATGTGTCAGTCCCTCTTTAACTCTGTTTTCAGCAAGACACAAACAACCACGTAAGCCTCATTACTCCAAGACCTGCTTTGGAGGTTGGCTTCTAATCTAGTAAACATCGTTTGTTAACTGGACTTTTCCTCGTTAGATCTGAATGTCATTTTGCAATGGTTTACAAAACCAGCTGCTGCTTCATTTAACATCATATTTAAGCATTCGCAAAACAATACAGCTTTCCAAACAAATGTCAAACTACCTGCATTTTAAACATACATCTGGATGTGATGTGATTTCCTCCAGGGCATATTGGCTGATTTTTGCTTGTTGTCATTTAAAAACTTGATGGATGACATATGCTTAAGATGAAAATCTTTCACTACAGCAACATTTTTAGAGGCCAGAATGAAAAAAATCACCTGATGTGATGCAAGCGCTCAGTGCTCTGGTCCTAAATTAGACAGTTATACATTCAAATGACAGGATGTTTGCTAACACATGTAGCCCAAGAGCTTTCAGTTTCACTGTGTTTTGTAAACGGTGGAGATTCTCATCTCCTTACAACCACATTAAAAAAAGACACAATTCTGTACAAATTGCAGAAAATATGAGGTTGCCATACCAGATACTCGACTTTAAATCTTATGTTCAGAAAGCAGCAGTTACCGGTGCAGCCAGGCTCTTTTATTTACGAACAGCAAAAACCGATTCAAGAGTCTGCATGGTTTAAAATGCTTTGATAACACTGAGGAGAAGCTCCTGTCCCGCTATGGAGAGAAAAAATGGCCCTGAAGGATCTGCTGATATTTTTGAAAACCCTGCAGGTTTATCCATAGATCAGTTAAGTTCCCAAATCCTCTTTTTTTTTGGTGTTGCTGCAGCAAACAGGTGAAAAAGGTGCATGCAAACGTGATTCAGGGTGTAAAAGCAATGAGGCAACATTCAAACGCTCCCGTATTTCTTGTTTAAACCCACAGGCGGCTTCCGAATTCCCAAATAGGAAACATGAAAAAAAAAAAAAAGTTGTCTTGTTACAAAAATGTAAGGGAGGCATCTGGTGGTTCTAAAAATGCAGCAAAGCTGTTAAGCAGCACGTAGGAGTGGGTAAACGGCAAATGAATTAAAATAAAAACAACCGCTGAAGGCTTAGGTTAACAGTAGTCTCTAGATGAAGTTGATGATGTTTCAGCAGGAATTAGGCATGTATTAAAAATGATGGCTCATGTGAAGAAAACATTTCTGCTCAAAGCAGCAAAAACTCCCAAAGCAAATGAACAGATGGGAAATAAAACCTGGGTCCTCTTGAATAAGAGGAAGTCTCATGATTCACAGTAGCCTGTTCAGTTCTGAAGATGATGAAAGCCTCGTTTCCAGCCTGAGACAGAGCGAGTGGGCTGTTCTGCATGCATATCGTTGCTGTTCCGTCAGACAGGACGCTCTCTGATGTCCACTGTCCTCCCTATTTGGGCCTGTGATGCTTTGGGCTCAACCATAACAAAAGATACGCTGCAGCGTGCCCCTTTAAAACATCTGAATGTTTGATGTGCACAGTCCTTGAGCTGCTTGTTAAAAGTGCATGAGCTGAATTTGGTCTCTTGAGTTCCAGACAGCATGCTTTACAAAGAAAACCCAACGCGTTACTCATGTATTGATAAACGGTCCAATTGTTGAAGATGCTTGTGCAGAACATCGCCAAAGGTGTAGAGTCCTCAACAGTCAGAGAGGCGGTTCAGACGCACCGAGGTTCCACCGTAATCCGTCTACCCGTCAGATGGGGACAGCCTCGGGGAGAAGTCCATTGCAGTTTTTACCACAGAGCACGTGACTCCCAGCCAGCTCATCCAGATTGTCAAACAGAAAACTCTGAGCCGCCCCGGCGACCGTGACTCAACAGCAACAGGCGCCGCAGCTGCAGACCCATGAAGGGATTACACCACAAGAGTGAGGGCGGACCCCCAAACACAGCTCTCATCCCATCCCATCTCATGTGGCGCTCCCACGTCGGCTTCTCATTTTTAAGACGTTCGATCTCCTGAAAAATGATCAGACCAGTTTGTATGGAGTAGCCACTCTAACTCGTTAACCGGTACAAAAAGGGTAAGCACTCACTGTCTCATCGTTGCAAATGGAGTGGATCTGCGTACCGAACATTACAGCGGTGAAAGTGAGGAAGAGGATGGCTTCAAGGCAGAGGAAGATTAGCAGCAACACGGACACTCCTGGAGAGAAGTCACTGCACTCTGTGCACCAGAGAAGAAGCACGTTTAAAGGGTTAGTTCGAACTGAACTAACCACTGCATCAGCTAGCAGCGAGTACAAAGATGAAAACGCCTGAAAGGATTGTTTTTGTTCAGTTTAAGCGATTAAAAACTGCATTAGACCACTTCAAACAGACAAGCTAGTTAACGTAACAGAGTCTAAGTCTAATAAAGCTGATTATTCACAGAATGAAAACCTTAATTTAATCTATTGATCCAGCAAAGGAGCAAGAAGAGCAGCAGCTCTGTGCTGATTTTACAAAACTTGTTTCTATGGTTTTCGTTAAAGACATATACTACATGTAGAAACTTCTACAGGTCTTGTTTACAGAGAAACCGTGTAATTCTTGTCCTTTCATACACCAGTTGAATGTGAACATTTTCTTCAACCCCATCGCCGGCGGCCACAAAAAGGAAACAGATGAGAAAACCATTGGATCAGAAATGGACAGTCTCTTGTACGTCAGATAAAAATAGCATTCATGGCCCCGCCCACCTTGGCTCGCGAGCGCAGAAGGTGGATGTTGATTTAGCAGCCAGGAGACAGCAGAGAGAATCTCAGCTAGTAGAAGTTAATTGTTAGCATTAGCAACTCCACAGCATGGTGGAACACATTTAGCTAGTGTTATTTGTTATTGAAACATCAAAAACGATGAGCAAACGGAGGCAGCGGAAGAGTGGCTTTGCTGTTAGCCAGTAAGAGACGAGATGATTGCATATCATGAATATTAATGAGTAAGACTTGTAATCCTGATTTTCTCCAGCTGCCACACCTCCAACTAACTTCTACCCCAGGGTAACTGCAGGTTTAAGGGAGCCAAATTTAAGACTTTTTAAGACCTTTTTTAAGGCCACTTTGACCAAATTTAAGCTTTAATTTCCAGCTACTGCCTGGAACCGGTGCTAACCACATAGCAAACGTGGGATTAGCCATCCAGTTACCATTAAACTTGCACTTCCCCATGGCGCAAGCGCCCACTAGCTTAACCAGCTAATGTGCTCATCTAAAAATAGTCCCCTTTCACAACCAACTGAATGTGTACGGTTCCGCTTACGCCAACATCATACACAAAAAAAGCTGAACACTAACTAGAAATTCATGAAAATTTTATAGAAATAAAAAAATCATGTTTATTGGGTCTTTGGTCATTTAAGACCTTTGGAAACTGTATTTAAGGATTATTTGTCATTTTAAAGGATTTTTAAGACCTTAATTTTGGAAAAGCAAATTAAAGACTTTTTAAGGACCCGCGGATACCCTGCTACCCCCTGAAACAGGAGCGTGAGAGCTTTTTCCAAAACAGAAATGACTTGCAATGCATTCACTCATTCATACTTGAGAACACAGCAGATTTATTGAAAAGACAAGTGAATGAGAGCTTTAAACCCATAACAAACTGAACAAATCTAAAGTGTAAATGCAGGAAGGACTTACTTACCATTCCACTGGACTTTAATACAAGTGAAGAAATGCATGCCACTTAGACCCAGGGCATGTGCAGAAATCAAGGCAATGTACATCTGAGAGAAAAACCCAGAACAGAAAGAATTGTGATGACATCTCACTCCAGATTTTATGTACAGTACAACTTAACACATCTTTGATTTTCAGTCTTTTTAAGAAACAATCTCATTTTCATGCTATACCTCGATTTTTAATGGACTAGTGTCTCCATCGGTGTGAAACGAGTGCAAATTCGATCATTTAATGACAGGTAATCCTGCCCTGCTCCGCCATATGTGGCAGCCGTAGTTTTCTGTTGTTCCAAAACTTCCAGTCAGCATATAAAGCAATAAATAATGCTGATGTTATCAGGAGGGTTACAGGTGGCGATAAGCACGTCTGTGACGGAAGCCCGTTTCTTCTGCGCATTAGCGAGATGGAGCATAAGCCCCACAGCGAGGAGACTTTCATTTGCAAACTGTATTTTCTTGATTCATATAAAACACAATAAAAATTATAATTAAAGCAACCTAATAAATATAAGAGCAACTATTTACAAATGGCCGCAACACTCTCCAAACATTCCTCTCCATGACAACCTCTGTGTACTCACAGTAAAGAGCACAAAGTATCTCTGATTCTTTTCTCCCACACAGTTATTGACCCACGGACAGTGATGATCCATCTTCCGGATGCACCGTTTACAAATACTGCAGGGAGGAGAGGGAGAGATGGTAACTTGTGATCAAATGTCCCAGATGCCTTCGAAGACACAGCGAATGTTAAAAAGTACTTTCTGAAAGATGAAAGTTGGAAAAATAAAATTGAGCTTTTCAAAGGTAAATATAGTTTCAAACACCTAAAGTGTCAGATTAAAGGATGCAGATGGATACAAGCTGTAGTGTTTTACAGGGAGGTCCCCTACAGTGAGGCTTTGCAGCAGCCAGACGCTATGAAAGCTACGAGACTGACCTGCAGTGGTGGGCCCTCTCAGGTTTGATGCTACAACACTTTGGACACTTGTAGATGACCTCACCGGGCTTAAGCTGCAAGCTCTCCATGTACTCCTTGGTTGCATTGCCTTTAGGAACTGCACCCTAAAGAAGTAGGGAAAGCAGAGTAAAATATAATAATTATTATATACAAACTGCATTTATATCTTGACAGAGAAAGTACACAAGCTCAAGCAGATAATGTGAGAAACTTCAGCAGTTTTCTGTTTGTTTTCGTCACATGAGGCCTGATCCAGAGTCAGAGTGTCAGAAGTCACTGTGATGTTTTGAATGAATTAATTTGTTCAGCTTGTGCTGTACAGGACAAAAGCACAAGTGGAAGTTAAGAGTAACTTGTTGTTTCAACAATAGAATTAGACTTTAAATAGTACAAATTGGATGAGATGAGCGAAGGCACAATGTGGGGAAGATCAGGAAATGATTGTCGGTAACAATCAGTCTTCGTCTTCGTCTTCCTCCGCTTATCCGGGTCCGGGTCGCGGGGGCAGCATCCCAATTAGGGAGCTCCAGGCCGTCCTCTCCCCGGCCTTGTCCACCAGCTCCTCCGGCAGGACCCCAAGGCGTTCCCGGACCATATTGGAGATGTAACCTCTCCAACGTGTCCTGGGTCGACCCGGGGGCCTTCTGCCGGCAGGACATGCCCGAAACACCTCCCCGGGGAGGCGTCCAGGAGGCATCCTGACCAGATGCCCAAACCACCTCAACTGGCTCCTTTCGATCCGGAGGAGCAGCGGTTCTACTCCGAGTCCCTCCCGAATGTCCGAGCTCCTCACCCTATCTCTAAGGCTGAGCCCGGCCACCCTACGGAGGAAACTCATTTCGGCTGCTTGTATCCGCGATCTCGTTCTTTCGGTCATTACCCAAAGCTCATGACCATAGGTGAGGATTGGGACGTAGATCGACCGGTAAATCGAGAGCCTGGCTTTCTGGCTCAGCTCCCTCTTCCCCACGACAGATCGGCTCAGCGTCCGCATCACTGCAGACGCCGAACCAATCCGCCTGTCGATCCCTTTGTGGGAAATATAAAGCTACACATCAGGATATTTAAATAGAATGACCATGCTGTACGATTCAGATTCAACATGTTTCTGGCCTCATATAAAGAGGTGTGTATTTAGATTAACCATTCGTGTAATAACGCAACCTAGAGGCAGTAGCTCAGCTCGCCTTGACTACTGTAACTCGAATTAATTTGTGGTGAGCAGGGTACGTTAGTGTTGTCATGGTGTAAAATGTAACCTCACAGTTGTGACCAAAATTATGATGGTTTTCTGTATTATGGCGGTATTTAAAAAAAAAACACGTTTTCAGACAACTAAATAAAGCCTCTAAATCAGGAAAATATTGTCCTCAGTTAGTCTAAATTTTTGCATAAAATGCATTATTTTGTAATTATGTTGTTTATTTGTTTACCTTCGCTACTTTTAGTGTTTAAAATAATTTCCCATAACTTCTTTTTTTGTCTGTTTGATGTCATTTAAAAAATGAGATCAGATGATTCTCAGTACTCAAGTAGCATCCTAATCAAGTACTTTTTTACTCTTGAGTAATTTCTTGGACAGCTACTTTTACTTGAGTAAAAGGCGTTGATGTAGTGCTGCTCTTACTTAAGTACAGTTGCATACTCTACACAGCCGGCACCCAAACACTTCCCCTCAGTGGGACAAAATAAAAATCTATATCTCCCACTCTTACTTATTATTTCACGATGAGCTGTTAGTCATTTTGAGTATATTACATTAACTAATTATAGCACCAGAAATGTGCAATATTTTCAGACAACTAAATAAACCTACCTCTCCCTGGACTGCCGCCTTACTGTGGTGAGTGTCTCAGTGATCCTAGGAGCTAAGTTGTCTGAGGCTTTCTGCCTCTGCTAGGGTCACCCATGGCTAACAGGTTCTAGGTGAGGGATCAGATAAAGAGCAGCCCGAAGACCTCTTTAGATGAATATAAATGGAAACTCTGTTCCCTCGCCTGGATGCGGGTCACCAGGGTCCCCCTCTGGAGCCAGGCCTGGAGGTGGGGCACGTTGGCGAGCGCCTGGTGGCTGGGCTTTCACCTATGGAGCTGGCTGGGCACAGCCCGAAGAGGAAATGTGGGTCCCCCTTCCCATGGGCTCACCACTTATGGAAGGGGCCAAAGGGGTCGGGTGCAGTGTGTGACGGGTGGTAGTCGAGGGCGGGGACCTTGGCGGTCTGATCCTCGGCTACAGAAGCTGGCTCTTGGCACATGGAATGTCACCTCTCTGCTGGGGAAGGAGTCTGAGTTGGTGTGTGAGGTTGAGAGGTTCCAACTAGATATAGTCAGACTCACCTCAACGCATGGATCTGGCTCTGGAACCAGTTTCCTTGAGAGGGGTTTGACTTTCTACCACTCTGGAGTTGCTCCCACTGAGAGGCTGTCAACTGATCACTACCTGGTGGTGAGTTGGCTCAGAGGGTGGGGGAGGATGCCGGTCAGACCAGGCAGGCCCAAACGTATCGCAAGGGTCTGCTGGGAACGACTGGCAGAGTCTCCCGTCAGAAGGAGCTTCAATTCCCACCTCCGAGAGAACTTCCAAAATGTTCCCGGGAGGCAGGGGACATCGAGTCTGAATGGACCCTGTTCCGTGCCTCAATGTTGAGGCCGACCGGAGCTGGATCGTCGGTGCCTGTCGTGGTGGCAACCCCCGAACCCGCTGGTGGACACCGGGGGTTAGGGATGCTGTCAAGCTGAAGAAAGAGTCCTATCAGGTTTTTTTGGCCTGTGGGACTCCAGAGGCGGCTGACGGGTACCGGCAGTCCAAGCGGAACGCGGCTCGGGTGGTCGCCAAGGCAAAAACCCGAGCATGGGAGAAGTTCGGTGGGACCATGGAGCAAGACATCCTTATGGCTTCGTGGAGATTCTGGTCCACCATCCAGCACCTCGGGGGGTTGGTAGCAGTGCGCTACCAACACTATCTATAGTGGGGATGGGGACCTCTACTCAGGACGTTGTGGATCGGTGGGTTGGCCTCTCAAATCTCTGGTGCTGAGGCCACTGAGGTGGTTAAAAAGCTCTTCTGTGGCAAGGCTCCAGGGGTGGATGAGATCCACCCGGAGTTCCTTAAGGCTCTGGATGTTGTGGGGCTGTGTTGGCTGACGTGGCTCTGCAATATCGCGTGGACATCGGGGGCGGTCCTACTGGACTGGCAGACCGGGGTGGTGGTCCCCTTATTTAAAAAGGGGGACCGCAGGGTGTGTTCCAACTAGAGGGGGATCACACTCCTGAGCCTTCCTGGTAAGGTCTATTCAGGGGTTCTGGAGAGGAGGGTCCGTCGGATTGTTGAACCTCAGATTCAGGAGGAGCAATGTGGTTTTCGTCCTGGCCGTGGAACACTGGACCAGCTCTTTACCCTTAGGGGGATCCTGGAGGGTGCGTAGGAATTTGCCCAACCAGTCTACATGTGTTTTGTGGATTTGGAGAAGGTATTTGACCGCTTCCCTCTGGGGGCCCTGTGGGGGGTACTCCGGGAGTATGGGGCACCAGGCCCTCTGATACGGGCTGTTGGGTCCCTGTATGACCGGTGTCAGAGCAGTGTTTCCCTTACATAGGCGTAGCCGTGGCGGGCCACCATGGCTGAAATCCCAGCGCCACGCCTGCAAGATCCCGTTTTATAGAATATTTTTTTTTGCGCTGTTTCCCAAAGAAGCAGCAGGAACTACTCTGTTGTTGCTTGTGGTCACAGCCGGCAGGCAGCAAGGAGGAGGAGGCAGGGCAGGGTGGTTACAGCTAGGGATGAGCCGTGGATAAAGCATTTTTGACAAATACGAGCATGAAACGAGTAAAACTCGTAAATATCTGTAATCGTGCTGAAGAAAAATCCTCATTGGGTAACTGCCTTCACGCTCTGTGATTGGCCAGTCACATGGAGCGCCGCCCCTCCCTACACACAAAACTGCTCCGGCCCACGCACACACACAGTAACGGATCTCTCTGTGCTTGCTTCACTGTTGCTCACATTTCTTCAGTACTCCCTGGGTTTTCTTCAGCTCGCCTCTTTTTCGGTTGGATATTTAAAGTTACTCTTGTCGTAACGTACGTTGTGCATCTCTCTCTTTCGTTCTCTCACTCACTCACACACTCACACACACACACACACACGCAGCCGAGTGTGAAGCAGCTGGGATGAGAATCAGCTCCTCTAAATCTGAGACCATGGTCTTGATTCGGAAAAGGGTAGAACGCCTTCTCCGGGTCAGGGATGAGGTCCTGCCCCAAGTGGAGGAGTTTAAGTATCTCGGGGTCTTGTTCACGAGTGAGGGAAAACTGGAGCGTGAGATCGATAGGTGGATTGGTGCTGCATCTGCAGTGATGCGGGCGTTGTACCGGTCTGTCGTGGTGAAGAGAGAGCTGAGTCAGAAGGCGAAGCTCTCGATTTACCGGTCGATCTACGTTCCAACCCTCACCTATGGTCATGAGCTTTGGGTAGTGACCGAAAGAACGAGATTGCTGATACAAGCGGCCGAAATGAGTTTTCTCCAAAGAGTGGCTGGGCTCTCCCTTAGAGACTGGGTGAGAAGCTTGGTCATTCAGGAGGGGCTCGGAGTAGACCCGCTGCTCCTCCACATCGAGAGGAGCCAGTTGAGGTGGCTCGGGCATCTGGTCAGGATGCCTCCTGGACGCCTCCTTGGTGAGGTTTTCCGGGCACGTCCAACCGGGAGGAGACCTAAAGATAGACCCAGGACACGGTGGAGGGACTATGACTCTCACCTGGCCAGGGAACGTCTTGGGATTCCCCCGGAGGAGCTGGCCAAAGTGGCTGGGGAGAGGAAAGTCTGGGCCTCTTGCCTTAGGCTACTGCCCCCACGACCTGACTCTGGATAAGTGGATGAAAATGGATGGATGGATGGACAAATAAACCTAGTGTAGTGATATTTAGTTTGTGTATTTATACACTGTAATTAGCCTAGCCAGCCAGCCCCATGCTTCCTTATGGGAAGTGCTTCATTTAGAATTAAACAGAGGACGAGTCTGGCAGGCCAGACAAAAATAAACCCTCTATATCAGGAAAATATTGTCCTCAGTTTGTGTCCTTCCAGTGAGATTTGCAGATTTGTGAAAATATCACGACGCAGAAAGAGACCAGCTCTTATCTGCCTCCTGGGAGCCCCATAATACATAGCGTCATTTCAATATGGGGGTGTCCACGACACGGTTTATATGCTGGCAGTGGGCGCTGCGGCTGCACTGGGGCAACTCGTTGCATTCTCCCTGAACCCAAAGTCCTCACATCATCCATTTAAACTAAAACGCTAACATTAACTTGCCTTGCATTTACTGTGGCATTGTGGGTGACGGTCACGCAGATGTGTCTTGAGATTCTAAGTGTTACTGCCTTTCACACACGCTGTTTTTCCTGCAAGGTGCTACAAACAGGATATTTTCTATCAACTGTCCCTCAGCATTTTTCAAATATATAAAATATGCCCATACTTCCGACTTTGTCTTCTTTGAGGGCTGATAGATGTCCTGAGCGCTACAATCTCCTTCAGCCAATATTTCAGCTTTAGCTTCAAGAAAGTTTTGGTTGTAAAGTACAAAGTGCTCATGTGCGGCAGCTTCAGCAGACACTGGACAGGGTCGCCGTGTCTACGCCACAGCAATCCACCGAGATAATTATTTTTTTAATAAAATGATTATTATTGTCAACATTTTTACCGGGGTTTACCACTACATCGGTTACCGTGACATCCCTTGTACAGTAGCAAGGTTGCAACTTGTGCAAAATGCTGCTGCTAAATTTCTAAAGGGTAAAAAGGAAGTTTGATCATGTTACTCTGATTTCGGCTGCCTGCTGCTTTTAGAATTTGTGCCTGATGACACCGATGCAGTCACATACACAGGTACGTACGCTCTGCTTGGAGAACCTTCTAATGCTCTCGGTGCCTAAAACAAATAAAGACGAGAGGAGACAGTTTTCTCCGTGGCAGGCCCAAAGCAGTTGTCCATAAGGGCTTTCACTTCCGTGATGGTTTTTAAAGCTAGACTGAAAACCTACTTTTATGATTTGGCGTTCACTTCTGGTTTTTAGTTTTCAACTTGGTTTTAACTCAGCTGTCACTGTTTTATAATGTTCTACTTGGTTTTATTCTGTTCTCATTTCATTGTGTCTGTAAAGCACCTTGATGTCATTTTTCTGCTGGTAAGGCGCTATATCAATAAAGACTGAGCTGAGATGTATGAAAGCAGATGATTGAAGGAATGACAGTGGAGTGAACTGCTCTTTACAGCTTTCACACATTTCACAACCTCTCTTCAGCTGGATGTCCAAGTTCTTAATATCAAGTGACTCCAAGAGTCAGACAGTGACAGGCTTTCTGCTTGTTGCTTTGTTAACACAACCAGAGACTAGTGATGCACCGATATGAAATTTTTGGGCCGATACCGATATTAAGATCACTGTTATGGCCGATAACCGATGTTTGCCGATACCGATATACTGACATTAATGCTTCTAAAATCAGAAATTTTGTATAAAATGAAAATGCTTAAAGTTGAATTTATGTTATTATGTACACACACCACACACATTTACACTTCTCAGATGATTTCATTCACTGTTCACATGACTAAACAAATACACATCACCCCCCTCACCCTCTGAAACTGGCAAACAAATGGAGAGAAGATGGAAAAAATACTGGTTGCTAATATCGGCCCGGTTTTATTTATTGGACCAATACAGATATGTTAAAAAAATGACTAACATCAGCTGATACCGATATTGATGCCGATATACTGTCCATCCCTACTAGAGACTCATTTATTCAGTTGGTAGAACAACAGTGGAATTATTTCCAACACAGAACACTGAGTTTTAGCTTCAACCCCATACAAAGTCTTAGGAGATGTATTTTTAAACAGCTTGTTATTAACAGCTTTTAGGAGTGTGCATTAGCAAGAATCTGGGGATACAATAAATATCACATTAAAGGGATACGATTTGATGTGTCGCAATAACAAAAGCCAAATAATAAAATGTTTGCAATTTATAGAATTGAATTGAAAAACAAAGGGCAGACACTTCCAAGACACATCAAGCGTCATCACAAGTTACTGTTGTTCCGTCAGATTGAAGGCAGTAAAAACTGCTGCCACCCAGGGATCGGAGTTTAATTTGCACCACACAAAAGAAATGTTTGCATTTAAATTATCAAGAAAAGGCATTGATACACCTGCTTTTGAATATCGATTCACCATCATAACACAAGATATTGCAATATTTCAACATATTGATAATTTCTTAAATCCCCAAACTGGAATTTCGAGTTTCCCCTGATCAGCTCATGTTAGAATCAGATCCTTACCGGGTCAGTCAGCATGGTGCGCAGGTGCGAGGCCAGTGCGAGCACAGCCAGGGAGTTGAAGGTGGCTCCATTCAGTAGAGAGTACCAGAAGCTCTTGGCGGGCAGTAGCATGACAAAGTTCACCACAAACTCAGCATACAGAACCAGGAACCAGGTCATGCCTGCACACACCATACCACAACTGTCCTGAATGAACCACAGTGTGCGGTTCCCCACTGTGTGGCCCGAGTGGGGACCTCCAACCATCACTCCGGCTCCCAGGCTCCCCGCCTCAACATCTGCACCCGCCGACAGCAGCGGGTGGTGCTGCTCCATATCTCGTAGTCTGTGGTTTGAGGACTGCATCCTGCCCTAAGGAAAAAGACAAATATTAGAAAAAACAAACCTCATTATAATACACACTCTGAGTGAGCATAACCCTAAATCTCAACAGCGACCTTTGAGTCATGCTGCTATAACTCAAAGAATCATGAGTCACTGGATTCTGTTTTCATGTCAAGGTCACCAGAGAACATTCAGGAGCAGCTCACAGACAAAGTCAGCAGCTTCAAGATAAATCGATGGTTATCCAGGTCGCTCTCGGAAACTGATCTTGCTGCTTCAGGCTAATAATAATCTGTAGACCCACTTGCTGGCTGCCAGCAGACCGGGCTGTTATTGATAAAGCAAACCAAATTAAACAAAGGGCTTTGAGTTTCTTCAGTGTAAAAAAAACCACATTGCTATGTACACAGAATAATAAATGGTAATAAAATATAAAAGATCTGATTACACTGGAATGCTGATAGTGTGTACTGCAAACTACAGTAGAATGTGTATTTGTTTTACTTGTCCTCAGCTTTGCGTACACCCAAAGGTTTACAGTTTCTTTAGTTAGCATAACTTTACAACTCACACAAACGTATTACAGTTATCCGAGTGCAACATTTCAGTGCTCATGAATCCGCCTGGTTATTGACACATTCTTTTAACAAAAACTATAATTTTGTTTTGTTATCCCTCAACTAATTTATGCCAATATTAATCAGGGCTCAGTATTAATTTAGAAAATCTCAAAAACCTTTATAAAAATGTTAAGAAATACAAAAACACATCTATAAGCCTTTTATTGTGACTACAAACTGTTGCACAGGGAAGATAATGGTGCATTATAGAAGAAAATAATATCTACATGCAATCTTTTTGTTGCCAAAAATTTAAAAACAAAATTGTAAGAAAGTTTGTGTTATTTCGGTCCGTTTCTTTTTGGATATAAACGCCAATGCAGACAATTACACAAATTTGGGGTGTGAACTGTCAAGAGCTGACCGGAAAGGGATGAGGATCCCAAGAGGCAGCCTAAGTCACGCCCATCTACCTCTGCACCATGGATCCCTGGAAGAACGAAAACACGAATGCAAATCAATGGGGCTAAAAACGCTATTTTCTAATTACGCTTGTTATGTGCCATGGATTTCACATATGATGTCCGGGAATTCTAAAGACATATTTTGATACCAAGACTGTACTTATTTTGGAAAAGGGGGAAACGCTACTTTAGGTTTTGTGTGACTACAAATGCGCTTCACAAAAGTGACGTCATCAAAGCAGACACGGAGAAAACTGAGGGAAAATGGCTGTAAGTTCAGCGAACTTCCCACAGGAAGAACGAACCACCATAAATCTGGTCACAGTGTTTCCCCTAGGAAACCTTTATGTTAATATTGTTTTATTTGATGCACTCCACTTTGAACTGCACCAATCCAGCAACTGCTGCGTTTTATTAAAGGTGAATACACAATATTTGCACAAAAATTGTTTTTGTTTTAAACTCTCAGTGACACACTTTGCAGGGGGGATTTGGCATTTAATTTTTCTTGGCGTCTGGAAAAACATCTTCTGCCCCCCTTTATTTGACTTTCTGCCCCCTTTCTTTTGGTCCAAGATCATTACTGGGCTGGCCCTATTATAAATGTTCTACACCCCTGCTTAGTAGACTTAATGAAGTATTTTTAAGCCAGTATAAAAATGACTGAAACACAAATTTACATATTTGGCATTATTGACAAATATCTTTGATTTAATTTAATTGTTAAGAACATCAAGATGCATTACAGTGAACATTATAATAAAGTAAAGTTTTCTAGTGCAGAGAGGAGACAACCCATAGAAGCACTGATTTGATCTCATTTCAGAGAAAAATAGAACAGATCAGATGCACCTAATAAATAAAATTACTAACACAAACTCAGGAATCTGTTTCTTTGCTTCATTGTTCTGGTGCTGAAAATATCACTAATGCGGATCAAAGGAGATACACAGATGAATGCATCTCGTTTATTATTTGGAAATTAGTGGGTGTGGTTTACATCATTATATTATTTTAAGTCTGAAATTGATATGGATTGATCAGAAGTTGCTATGTGTATTGTTTATTTGAAAACTATTTACAGAGCAGCCTCAGAATTGAGATTAAATATTTTTGATCACAATGGTAAAGGAAGTATTACAGAACAAGTTTTTCAGTAAAATCAGAACATTAATATTTAAGTGCATGAATTAATACATCTGAACTCATGCAGTAGGCACTAGGTAATATGAAATACAAGAACCATTTTATTTTAATTTGATTAAACTGATTTCTTCCTAACGTTGTTGGCATTTTACCCACACACAGTTAAACAAAACAATGTTGATGTGTGTGTGTGTGTGTGTGTGTGAGAGAGAGAGAGAGGGGGAGAGAGTTAAAATAATAAAAAATAAAAAAATAAACGACCGGAGCGGAGGCAGTGACCGACGCACGAGCTCTGTCTTGTCAATGAAAAAAGTCACTTTAAATATTCAACCGAAAAAGAGGCGTGCTGATGAAAACCTAGAGAGAACTGAAGAAACGTGAGCAACAGTGAAGCAAGCACAGAGAGATCCGTTACTGTGGGTATGTGTGTGCGTGGATGGGCCGGACGGACTGAGCTCCCAGCTGCAGTTTTGTGTGTAGGGAGGGGCGGGCGCTCTATGTGACTGGCCAATCACAGAGCGTGAAGACAGTCAGTTACCCAATGAGGATTTTCCTTCAGCACGATTACAGATATTTACGAGTTTTACTCATTTCATGTTTGTATTCGTCAAAAATGCTTTATCCGTACCAGATACTCGTCTGAAATGAGTGTCCGGCTCATCCCTAGCTGTAACCACCCTACCCTGCCTCCTCCTCCTTGCTGCCTGCCGGCTGTGATCACAAGCAACAACAGAGTAGTTACCGCTGCTTCTTCGGGAAACGGAGCAAAAAAAAATTCAATACAACTTGGGATCTTGTAGGCGTGGTGCTGGGATTTCAGCTGTGGCGGGGCGCTACGGCTACGCCTATGTAAGGAAAACACTGGGTCATTTGGTAAGTAGCAGCTATGTTAGGGGAGTGGAGATCATGTGGTGACGTCACATATGCGATGTGCCGATTTCTGGTGTGTAGTCATGCTAATTACGAACTTTTACAAGCTAATAAATCTCAAAGTACGTGACTGGTGTGGTCGAAACACCCATCATTACTTTTCATTTAAATAGCAGTACAACATATGTGCGATCCAGGGCGTAAGGCAAAGCAGATTGGAAAATAGCGTTTTTAGCCCCATTGACCTGCATGCATGTTTTCATTTTTCCAAGGACCCATGAGCCGACCGGAAAGGGAGGAGACTTGGGCTCCCTATGGTGAGCTCTCTTTCTGTCAGACTGAACTTAAGGGGTAAAAACTGCTGCCACCTAGCAGTCGGGGTTTGAATTGCATGACACAACAAAAATACTGCACATTTTTATAAATTCTCTATTAAAAATTGATACACTGCTTTTAAACATTGACTCAGTATCATAACGTGAAATATCGCAATATTTCAGTGTATTCATATATTTTTACATCCCTAATTCAAATACAACAATTTATTTCTAAATCCGTGATGTCATCGTGATGAAACCTTTTCTTTTGCTAAAGTGAATGCCAGTCATCCCAGTTGCGTATTTCACAGGACAGTGGACACTGAAGGGTCCTGTTTGGGATATTTTCACACAGATCAACCATACGCTTTTACCACAAAGATACACCCCTGATCTAGGTTGTACTCTGCCCACTGATATAGCAAATAACCACTTCCTTCACCAAACCATTTCAATCAAATAAGACATTTCCAGTGACGTGGTTACTGCAGAGCGAAGCACTCAGGTTTTAGCTGACTAGCTCACAGATGTTTGCTTCTACTTTCCACAGCAGTGGGTAGAACTGACATAGCTTGCAAACTGGATAATGAGAAGAGGAGAGCTTTTTTCCTCTTGCTTGTTGTGCTGACATCCCAAAACAGCAAAGGCATCGTCCTGACTGCTCTCTTTGGGTGTTCATTTACCCCACAGGCCATCTTGGAAGTAGTGGCCTTATTAGTGGTGTGCATGTTACTGACATTACACACAGATTATGTTCCAATGAAATGTAAAAACGCTGCTGTTTATTTTTGCAATGGCCAACACATTTCCAGTCATTTTGGTTGTTTGCTCATAAAGACATCACAAAACATTAGGACACAGGAAGGACAGGAAATACCCTATCAAGTGAACATTATCAATCACAGTATGGAAAAAAACTCAGCAGCAGGGCGTAATTTAATGAAACCAGTGCCTTTTTCGCAAATCTCATTATGCTTATGATGGAAAGATAGCTTTACTTTTGTTGGGATGAATAACTAAAGTTTCACCCTCACTAACCAGACACAATCAGAACAACTGCTGTGCACAGGACGCTTATTAAAACATAGTTTTTCTGTAAAAAAAAATGAATAAAAAGAAAAGGATGTTAATTCCTTGAGGGTCAAGAATGGCAGCATTGATCTGTTGTGATCAATAAAGGGGGCTGGGCAGTCTTTTTTATTATTTTTTTTAACTAACATAACAAGCTGTCACCTCAACATCATCTAGCCCAGAACACGACAGAGTAACAAAGTAATGTATGCAAATAAATTAAATTTGTACCTAAATAAACAGATTTCACCAAATAAATTCCATTTATCATAAAACAGATTTGTTGCTCACTTAATGGAAACAGATGGGGAAGCAAGGCTATTATTTTTCCATGCATTTCTTTAGTTATAAATGCTGCTCTGAGCTTATATGTGTTAACTTATTCATGAGCCAACCGTTGATGACTGATGCAACACAAACAACCCACGTTTAGCTGACATTTTAGGACTTGAAATTGATCCCAATCTGCCTCAGCTATAAACACAAATGAAAATAGATTTTCTTGTGAAAATATCATAGGAGGTCCGGCTGTTTTGAAAGTAAATAATGAGCAGAGCCAAATCAGTCAGTCATGTAAAAAATTGTAGCAGCACTTTGATACTCTATTATCACATTGACTGCTGCTGCTCCAAATTTCCCAATAGACATTTTCACTGGCCATAATCAGAATGAGGACTACGATATTTCCTGTTTTTGTATAATGCATTAGATAAACCAACTGTCCCCAATCTTGTGGAATAAAAAGACAGACAAGACATACTTCATACCCTTCAGATTTACAACAATGTGAGGCCGTGTACACACCCTGAAGCACTTTATAGGATGATGAAGCAAACAAATGTAGAGAGGAACATACGCTGACACCTGAGAAAGGCATCTACATGATACTTTTATAGTACAAAACAAACATGTAGCTGCAACAAACATCCTTGTGTTTCATAACTCAAAATGCTTCCATCAGCAAGTGTTCACCAAAACCAAAAACATTTCATAACATTTTAGCAGTATTAACAAAACAACATCATCTGCAACCCAAATGCTGTCAGAAATGGTAATGACATGACAAAGATTAGTTTATTATGTAACCAAGATAAAATCAACACTGAATAAAACTGACTTCCTCACTGGATGAAATCCTGAATTTTGCAAGAGCTTAGATGAAAATAACCACCAATTCGGATAGAAAGTATTACTATTATAACTATTATTATTATCTAGCTCATTACAAGAATTTTGACACTGGACACCTGTCTTTGATCATGACATTGGTTCAGAATAACTTAGAAATAAGGTCTCTGTAAACCTGAAAACAGCCACTGATTGCTGTTATTGGACAATGCGCATCAGACATTGATTATTAATGTCTGATCAGTTGGAGCTCACTTAATTATCCGGTTGTGACTGTTAATTTGGTGAAGGCTTTAGTAATAATCTTTAAGCTAAACAGATGATTTAGCTATTGCCTTAATGCAACAGTGACAGCGGTGTAAGTCGTGACATAAAACAAACGCCGGCTCAGTTGCTTGCACTTCATGCAACAGCACTGGCAGCTAAATCTCTGCTAACTAGCCAATGAAAGAAGCTAACACAGCTAACATGCTACCAGTGTATGAGAGCGCCTCCCGAGTGGCAGCTGAATTACATACCTTAACAGTCTTAATTCGGTACGTGGGGAACGTGTTATCAATTCATCTCATATTCCGTTTTAAATAAAAGTGAAGGCAACACAGTCGCACATCGGTAAGCAGCAGACAGCACACATCGCGCGAACAACGGGCTGACAGCAACCAGTAACAAACAAGCTTCCGGGTTGCACTTCGGTTTTTCTCGGCCTTTTCGTGAATATCCGGCAAAATTAATTGGAGTGAACAAGTGCCATCTAGTGGTTAAAGACAGCATGACACAATTAAAGCGCAAGGTTATCACATTTCCACTGCCCCTTCTGGTAATGTCTACTGATGCCCAGTGTTGGGAGTAACGCCGTTTAAGTATAACGGCGTTTCTAACGGCGTTCTTTTATAGGTAACGGAATAATCTAATTAATTACTTTTCCCGCCGTTGCAACGCCGTTACCGTTACTGGGGACGGAAGGTTGTGCGTTACTATGTGCTTGCCGAACGTTGAGCAACAGTGTGAGGCTTTCTGACCGCCACACGTCAGCTGCAGCCAGGGAGAGAGAGGTGTCGGTAACGCACTTACAAACACGATGATGATTGGCCGGGTGGGCGGAGACCCTCACGGTCTCAGTCACTGCATTCTGTAGACACAACGGGAATAACTCCGTTTAAAATAACCGCGTTAATAAAAAATCTTTCTTTCTGTAACGAGCAAACTAATTAATTACGTCTTCTTTTATCAAAACGTCGTTTCTGTTACTGATAAGAAAATGCGTGCGTGAAGCAGCGCGGTGTGTTGAAGCTGTCATCATCAGCTGATCAGGAGCTAAAGAGGCAGATGTTTAAGAGCATCACGGCCCGTGAAGAACGAGGAAGACGTGATGAATATCTACGGCTGCAGACCCCCCGCAGATTTGTTGCTGCAGCAGCGAATCTGCGGGTCTGCAGCCGTGCCCTAACCCCGGCTTTCAACGGGAGCCGTCAGCAGCACGTTACTGCAGCAGCACGTCATAGCTGCTGATAGGAACCGCTGTGGTCAACAGAACCTTTTCCACTGGAGCCGTCAGCAGCCGTCAGCAGCGCGAGTCGGCCGCGTCTCAGAAGCAGCATGTCGCGGCCTTTACGCGCCGGTTCTATTTTCTACGCGCGACGCCTCTGAAACGGGTCAAGTTCGACATTTTTGGGGAAGGAAAGACAGGAAATCGGACGCGGAAAAGGAGAGAAGCTACCGAGATTTTCAGAATAAAGAACGTACTGCTTTCCGGTTGCTTTACTTTTAAAAAAGGTTACTAACTGCGCGTCCCCGTGAGAAGTTATCACCTAGCTAGCGGTCTCCGTTGTTTTTCAGGCCCGTATTGGCGATTATAAAACGGACAGAACATAAAACACAAACCATGTTGTAATTTTCTCCTGCTTGTTGTTGTGTTTACTGACGAAGTCACTCGTGTGACTTCATGCTCGGTCAGCTGCTCTCCTGCTGCTTCGCGTCTCGTGGGAAGGGCCAAGCAGCAGTTTACGCGAGCAAGACGTGCTGCTGCAGTAACGTGCTGCTGACGGCTCCCGTGGAAACCCGGGGTTAGCGTGACAGCGGGATGTCCCGAAGGTCCGCTCACCTGTTCACCGCTCAGACGTCCTGATCTTCTACCTTCCTAGATCATCCAGCTGTAACCTGTTCCTGATCATGTCTTTAGTCCCGCTGTAACACTGATGCATCAGTCTCAGACGTCATGGAGCTCAGGTGTTATTAGAACTACCTGTGTGTGTTTACCACCCAGCTTCAGCTCTTCTGTGGTTGGGTCTGACCCAAGTTACTAAATGTGAGTCCTCCATCAGGCTTGTGCCTCTTCTAGTGTCATTTTAATGGATTTTATTTATTTAACCGTTACTAGATTAGCAGCAACAGAAATGCTGCTAAAAACACACAATTATGTGAAGCTGGAAAAATTAGAATACTGTGCAAAATTACATTTATTTCTGTAATTTAACTAGACAGAGAGACCATTTAAAGGCTCGGGAACCATTACAGGTGTTTCTATTTGCAATTTTAAATTTGAGCTGATTGGGTTCTTGTTAAATATCACACAGTGACCTTTTAATAGTCTAGATTAGTGTAATGTTCCTATTAGTAGTTCCTCCTGTTAAGTGCTTATTTGTTTAAATTATTCAGGTTAATAAAAAACATTTGGACATACATTTTATTATGTTCCAGTCATTAGTCATTTATATTTTACTATTGTAGTAATTCTTGCATGCTTTAATGAAAAAAAGTAACTAAGTAGTTACTTTTGTTGGTAATTAGTTACTTTTATGATCTTGTAACTCAGTTAGTAACTGAGTTACTTTTTTGACAAAGTAATCAGTAACTATAACTAATTACTTTTTTAAAGTAACGTTCCCAACACTGCTGATGCCATGTAAGACATAGTTAAGTACTATCTCACGGGTGAATAAATAAAAACATATTTTAAATTATATTTTTAGAACATTTTTGAGCATGTTTCAGACTTACCCATTCCTTTGAACACTGTGCAAGCCATTCAGTGAATTATAATAGCAATTTTGAACTATATTTTACTTTTACATTATTTTTGCTGTAACAAAAAACATCAATGAAAACTAAATTAGGCAAAAATAATAACAGTATAGCAGCAATTACTACTATTAATAATGTTAACATGATATTATTATTAATAGTAATGAAAACTTTAATTTATTATTATTATTATTATTATTATTATTATTAATAATAATAATAATAATAATAATAATAATAATAATATAACTTTGTTGATCCCACAGTGAGGGCATTTTGGCATTTCCACAGCTCTGACAGATAGCAAAGTAGTACAAATGTATCATAGAATGCAAAAATATAATTTAAATAAAAAATAGACAAGACACTTTATACAACAGTAGTTTCTATGTAGACACATACACAGTAAGCATTATGAATAGGAGATTGTGAAACTTTGTGGAAGTAATAACAAATAAAAAGTATCAGCTGTTCTGTTACAACTACCTTTTACTGTCCAAGTGATTGATAGCTTTAAATACAGGCATGAACATGTAATCAGACTCAAAAGGGTTTTATTGGCGTATGTATAAGAATGACATTAGGAAATTACTGCAGTACTTGGTGCAAAAAATAGGAAGTAAGAATATAATCATGAAGCATGGATGTACAAATGTACATATATCAAGTTTATTATGCATGGAGTACTGACCATAGATTTAAAGTGGCTGGGTGACTCATGACATCATACTGTGTTTATAAATCCTAACTGCTAATGGCTCCTTCCTGCAGTGGAGGTGTATCAGCCTCTGACTGAAGGAGCTGCTTAGCACACCCACCGACTCGTGCAGAGGTTGATGTGGATTTTTCATGATGGACGTCAGCTTAGCTAACATCCTCCTCTTGCCCACCATCACCACAAACTCCAGAAGGTATCCCAGTACAGAGCTAGTCCTCCGCACCAGTTTGTCAATCCTGCTCCTGCCCCTGTCTGTATATCTGCTCCCCCAAAAGGGCACTGAATAGAAAAGGGCAGATGCTACCACCGAATCATAAAATGTCCTTAACAGAGTCCTGCATACTCCGAAAGATCTCAGTTTCCTCAGTAGGTGGAGTTGACTTTGGCCCTTCTTATACAAGGCATCTGTATTTGTAGACCAGTCCAGTTTATTGTTGAGGTTAATACTCAGGTACTTGTAAGAATTCACTATCTCAATGTCTTTTCCCTGGAATTTCCCCGTTGTTGTAGGGGGTGACTTCCTCCTGAAGTCTATGACCATCTCCTTTGTCTGGCTGGCATTGATCTAAGAAGCATTGGTCTCACACCAACCGACAGTCACTGATAACCCCCTGTATTCCTGATCATTCCCATCTGATACGCATCCGATGATTGCTGTATCATCCGAGAACCTTTGTAGGTGGCACTGGTCTGAGGTATAACAGAAGTCTGAGATGTACAGGCTGAAATGGAAGGGTGACCGAACTGTGCCCTGCAGCACCCCCGTGCTGCAGAGCACCTCCGACACACAGTCATAGTGGAGTCTCAAATACTGTGGTCTGTTGGTTAGACAATTGATGATCAGCTGTTTGCCCACACTGCCTCCCTCTAGCTTCCCTCTCAGTAGTGCAGGCTGGATGGTGTTGAAAGCACTGGAGAAGTAAAAAATACATGACCTTCGCAGCACTCCCTGCCTGCTCCAGGTGAGAGAGGGATCAGTGCAACTGGTAGATAACAGCATAATCCACCCCGATTCCAGGCCGATATGTGAACAGCAGGGGGTCCAGTGCTGAGCTTACCAGTGAGCGAAGGTGGTGCAGGATGAGCCTTTCTAGGGTCTTCATCAGGTGGGAAGTCAATAACACAAGTCTAAAGTGGTTGGGCTCCTTGGGGTGCATGGTCTTTGGCACAGGAACCATGCAGAAAGTCTTCCACAGTTCAGGAATCCTCTCCAGACTCAGGCTCAGGTTGAAGATGTGCAGGACCACTTGACAGAGCTGGACTGCTGGACTTGATATTAATGTAGCTTCACCACAAGGTCAAGGCCTATTATTCACCTGTTTACCTGCTTGATGGGATTAGTTTACCATTGTTTCTTTCTCCAACTGCAGAATCTCCTTCAACATTTTAGCCCCTGTTGTGGTTGTGCTGGACTCCGGCCTCTCAGGTATTCCAACAATCCTTGTGCGACCGTCCAAATCGTCACACTAAAACTGGCTCAGAAAGTTCCTTCTTTGGCTCTCCCACCATGCTCCGAAGAGAGACAACCTCGTCCAACAGAGTGGACAAACCATCTTTCCTGTCCGTAACTCTCGCTCCAACCTTTAATACATTCAAGTAGGGTGCTGCGGTTGTGCTCTGAAAGTCGGCGTCCGTTGCCCTCACACCTCTCTTATTCATCCATCCATTTTCATCCGCTTATCCGGAGTCGGGTCGCGGGGGCAGTTGCCTAAGTCGAGAGGCCCAGACTTACCTCTTCCCAGCCACTTGGGCCAGCTCCTCTGGGGAATCCCAAGGCGTTCCCTGGCCAGGTGAGAGACATAGTCCCTCCAACGTGTCCTGGGTCTACCTTTAGGTCTCCTCCCGGTTGGACGTGCCTGGAAAACCTCACCAGGGAGGCGTCGAGGAGGCATCCTGACCAGATGTCCGAGCCACCTCAACCGGCTCCTCTCGATGTGGAGGAGCAGCAAATCTACTCCGAGCCCCTCCTGGATGACCAAGCTTCTCACCCTATCTCCAAGGGAGAGCCTAGCCACTCTGCGGAGAAAACTCATTTCAGCCGCTTGTATCCGCGATC